TTTGGCCAGCACAGCAGCCTTTCTCTTTGATCTCAAAGGGTAAAACACAAGCCGGGTGTGGTGGCACAAGCCTGTAGTCCCAGCACTTGAGAGGCAGAGGCAGGCAGATCTCTGTGAGTTCAAGGCCAGCCTGGTCTACATAGTGAGTTCCAGGACAGCTGGGGCTACAGGGAGACCCTGTCTCCAAAAAAAAAAAAAGGAGGGGTAAAACAGACACCTCTTGACCACCCCCCCCCCCGCCAGCCCATGACCGTGTTGCTGACATTTTCCCTACCCAGAAGGGAATCTGCCCCGTGCGAGGCTTCCTTTGCTAATAAACTATCCTGCTGGAGTTTTATCTGTGTCGTGATGCTTTCTCCCGATCGACCTAGTTCCTCTCTCAGTCTATCAGCAGTCATCTTGGCACTTAAGACAGCAGAAAGAGGAAAGTCGCTCTGACCTTCCTGAGGCAGGTCCTAAGCCCCTCACATGAGAGGCTTCTGCCTCAGTAGTACCCTGAGGAAAGTACAGACGTATCTGAACACAAAGGCATGGTGACTATTCCATTAGCACTACTGCAACACATACTCTCTCTTCCTTCAAATCCAGGAGTAAGAATGTACAAGTTGGTGCTGGACTCTTAATGGCTCAGCGGTTAAGAGTACTTGCTGTTCTTACAAAGGAACCTAGTTGAAAGGCGTGGTGGTGCATGCCCTTAGTCCCAGCACTCAGGAGGCAAAGGCAGGCAGGTCTCTGTGAATTTGAGGCCAGCCTGCTCTCCATAGCACGTCCAGGTCAGCTGTGGCTATAGGGAGACCCTGTCTCAAAAAAACCCCAAAGGGAACCCAGCTGAGTTCACAGCTGCCTGTGACTCCAGGTCCAGAGATTCTAATGCCCTTATCTGGCCTCTGTGGGTATTTGCATACATACGGTGCACATACAGAGGAACAGGTGAACACATATACATAATTTAAAATTTTTTATAAAATATTTACTTTTTTATGTGTATGAGTGTATTGCCTGCATATATGTGAGTGCACCCATGTCATGCAATGCTGTGGAGGTCAGAAGAGGGCTTCAGATTCCCCTGGAATTGGAGTTAAGGATGGTTCATAGCCGCCATATGGGTGCTGGGAATCCAACCCAGGTCCTCTGCAAGAGCAGTCAGTGCTCTCAACTGCTAAGCCATTTCTCCAGTCCCAATTTTTTTTAATTTTTAAAAAGTAATATTTCAGGCCAGGCACATGCCCTTAATCCCAGCACTCAGGAGGCAGAGCCAGGCCAATCTCTGTGAGTTCAAGGCCAGCCTGGACTACATAGTGAGTTCCAGGACAGCTGGGGCTACAGGGAGACCCTGTCTCAAAAAGATCAAATAAAAAAAGGGGGGGGACTGGAGAGATGGCTTAGTGGTTAGAACGGAGGACCCAGGTTCAGTTCCCAGCACCCTGGCAGCTCACAACCTGCTTGAACTTCAATTCTGGGGGATCTCATGCCATCTCCTGGTCTTCTTGGGCACCAGGCATGCATGCTTGCAAAACACTCATACACATAAAATATATACCTTTAAAAAAAAACCTAAAATGTACTCCTAACAGACCACTAGCTTCCACCAATCCAAAAGCTAAGAACATCATCATTAGCTAAGAACATTACAGCATTGCTGTAAGTTGCCTGCCTGAAGTTCTCACCAATGTATTTGGTAAATGCCCTGACTTATGACCCTCTTTTCTCTGTAATAAAATTTCTACCATAGTGGAGTGTGATTTGGGAACAACCACAGTTCCCAGGCTCACATTTGGCTCAAGAAGAAACTATCTCCTCTTCTCACTAAAAGGAGAACTGTGTTTTTTATCAGCACATCCTGAGTTCATGGCTGAGAATTGAGAAAAGCCTCCATGGTCACACCTTCCCAGCCATGATGGGATGTACCCTCAAACCACAAGCCCAAATAAATACTTCCCATAGATTGTTTATCAGATATTTGGTCACATGATTGTGAATAGTTAACTAGTATACCTACCATGGTCTGTCTTGTGATTATTTGCTAGTAACCTGTCAGGTCCAAGGCCAGGGAAGAGGCTGCAGAGATGAATCTGGGAAGGTGTTCAAAATGCCAAACTCCACAGTGGGATTTTTTTTTTCAGTCTTTTTGAGACAGGGTCTCCCTGTAGCCCCAACTGTCCTGGAACTCACTATGTAGACCAGGCTGGCCTTGAACTCACAGAGACCCACCTGCCTCTGCTGGGATTAAAGGCATGCGCCACCATACCTGGCCCACAGTGGGACATTTTATCTCCACAGATCAGATTTTAGTTTACTTAATTTTGCTTATTTTCTAAAATTGGTTGCATATCCTTCCATGCTTGTCTACACATTTAAAGTATCAGAGCCTCCACACAGCACTTTAGCACACGTGACCCTGTGCTAAACACATGGCCTCAAGTGTCACTTGTAGCTTGAATGTGAAATGTCTGCCATAGGGACACTAGGGCCCCAGCTGGTGGTGCTATTTAGGAAGGCTGTGAACCTTTGGAGTTTTTTCTTACTCGGTTTTTATTATTTTAAAATTTTTGTTATGTTGTACATGTTTTGCCTGCATGTGAGTGCACCCATACATGCAGTGCCCACGGAGGTCAGAAGGGGGTGTTGGATCCCCTGGAACTAGAGTTAATGGAGAGTTGTCAGCTGCCAGATGGGTGCTGGGAACCAAACCTTGGTCCTCTGCAAGAGCAACCAGTGCTCTTAACCACTAAGCCATCTCTCTAGCCCCTGGGGTTTGTTTTTGAGACAGGGTCTCACTATGTAACTCTGGCTGGCCTGGAACTTGCTATGTAGACCAGGCTGGCCACAAACTCAGAGAAGAGCTCTGCATGCCTCTGCCTTCTGTGTGCTGAGATCAAAGGCCTGTGGTACTACACCTGGAGTTGTGGAACCTTTGGCTGGAGGGGGTGGGCCTTGAGACTTTTTTAAAAAACACACTTTATTATTTATTGAGTTCCAGGACAGCTGGGGCTACAGGAAGACCCTGTCTCAAAAAGACCAAAAAACAACAACAAAAAAAACACTTTATTGACACTTTATATGCACATGTATATGGGTGTGTACGCAGACGTCAGAAGATAGCTTGAGGTGAGCTGGTTCTCTTCTTCCACCATACAGGTGACTTTTACCCACTAAATCGTCTCACTAGCCAGGCCTTGAGGACTTACACTCTGGCTCCACTTCCTAAGTGTGTATGCAATGAGAGCAGCCAGCCTCAGCCTTTTGCACCATGCTTTCCCTGCCTGCTGCTAGTCTTCATACCAGGATGAACTGTAACCCTCAGGAAGCCAAAATAAACCCTTTCTCCCTAAGTTGCTTTTGCCAGGGTATTTTATCACAGCATTGAGAAAGTACCTAAGACAATTCACAACTTGCCTAAGCTGGGAAAATAGGACCTAGGTATGTGTCTTCCTCATAGATCTGTCAGTGTATCATGTAACTGACAGGGTTCAGATCCAGGCGACCCCAGTCCCAGAAACCATAAGGCCCCTAAGAGAAACTGAGTCAACCAACTCCCAGCCACCTGCAAGTTAACAAAAGCAGCTCCAGGAAATTAATGACCAATGTATTATGATCACCAGAGCATGCTCCAAAGGCTGACAAACAGGTTTCCCAAACCCTTACCTGCAATTAGTTCTTGGAACCCTGTAATTGTTGAGAACATGTTTTACAGTAAATGTTTTCCTCAAGTTTCACCAGGTACAGACCCTCCCTGAGCAAGCAGCTCCCAAAACAGTCCCAAACAGCAGAAAAATATTCTCTTTTTCTGTATTCTGTCCCTTTATAAGCCACCCCTCTGCAGCCATTAGGCTGCTGGTTCTTCCTCACACCCGAGTTGAGGACCAGCCCTGCCAAACCCAATTAAACTCTAAACTCGCTTTGCCAGAGTCCTTTGTTTCTGTTTCACCGTGATCCCGACCCCTGCCACCTTTTTATCTAACAGTACCGAGCAAACACTCTGGACACAAAACAATTCCCCTAAATAAAAACAAACTAGAGACCACTGTGGACACAAAACTGCTCTGCAGATCAAAAGTGTATATATACAGTCCACATACAGGAGCGGTCCTTAGAAGGCAACACTAAGTTTGATGTGAGGTGGCCTCCCACAGGACCAATAGGGAAAAGCAGGCAATCCAGGAGAAAGTTGTGCAAGAGCCTTGAGACCTTTAATTCGGACGCAGGGTCCAAGTGAGAAGTGGTGGAAGAATATTAGTTTAAAAAGCCAGCCAGAATTAATTCATAGAGGAACTCACAAAGGAGTTTACCGAATAACCCTGGGTATTTACAAGCTCTCCTGCAGCGTTAGGCCCTCCAAAACTGCCCCTGAGGCAGACAAGCGTTTCAAAGCAGAGCCCTGCGCCTACGGGCTCCAGGGCTCCAGGAACTCGGGGAGGAGAAGGTGGCTCGGTTTGGGGGTCACAGCTCTTTCCGCACCCTAGGCATCTGGCCAGATCCATCAGGCTGCGACAGAGGAGCAGGACCTGGGGCCCAAAAGAAAACTGGACACAGCGCACTGTGCGGAATTAAGAACCATCAAAATGAGGGTCGAGTCCACGGCCGATATGGTTTATGGAAGGCGGTGCAGAGTGCAACAACAAACCACGGCCTGCCCAAGCCCCATCCCCCAACTCGCGCCCCGCCACAGAGGATGAACCTTGAGAAGGGCGCTTCTTGCCCGGTTCCACCTCCCGGAAGTTCTGAATGCCGGAAGCGCTGGACGCCGCAACCCTAGTAAAGCCCTCACCTGGTAGCTTAAGCATTATCAACATGCGCCGCCCCGCTAAGACCCCGCCCTGCACTGATTGTGACGTCATCCCCGCACTTTTTCCGGTCGGGCTCCGCTCCGCGGTTCGTCGCTGAGCTTTAGCGTCATTGCCATGAGCCTTCCCGTTTCGACCACGCCTGCGGCACCCTGCTGTACGTCATCTCTGAGCGCCGCTCCCGATTCCGAAGCTGGGGCTCGACGCAGCGTGTGGCGTCAGCGCCACGCGCCTTCCCGCCCCGCGGTGTTCGAGCTCTGGGCGAGCCAGCTCCTCACTTTTGTTACTCATCTCAGGCATGTTCTCAGCCGTTCCCTCTCCGCGGACCCTGGGTCCTGGGTCTCGACGAGGCCCTGGGCCGGCGTCTACACCCCGGGCCACCAGGAGGGGTCTGTCCCTGGGGTCTGCCGTCAGCTCCCCGGTGCTCTTCTCGCCGGTAGGCCGGCGTAGCTCTCTGAGCTCAAGGTAAGCGATCCTGACTGGGTTCGGCCATCAACCGACTCAGGGCCAACGCGAGTCCAGTTTGCATCCTAGAAAAGTAAAATAAGCGGGCTGTGGTAGTGCACGCCTTTAATCCCAGCACTCGGGAGGCAGAGGCTGACGGATCTCTGTGAGTTCAAGGCCAGCCTGGTCTCCATAGGGAATCCAGGTCAGCTGTGGTTACAGGGAGATCCTGTCTCAAAAAGACAAATAAATAAATTAAATAAATAAATAAATAAAGTAGCTTTTTATTTGATTCATAAATCTGCGCAACCTTTAGGCTACAGAAGAGAATGAACGGGCTCCTTGAGCAGTATCAGAATAGTGGTTTTGTGAGGTAGAAACAGAATAATAAGAGATCAAAGTACTTCATATTTATTATAAAGATTAAAGTAAAAGCAATTTATACTGACAGAGAAAATTACTGTTTTCTGGTAAAAAGGTCATTTTGGGGAGCTGTCTGCTTAAAATTGCAGTTTGACGCTGTGGTATTGGATAGGAGTGACTGATTTTGTTCTAGACTTTTGGGGACCTAATGTAGCTCAGCATAGAACAAGGCCTTGCCTCCTTCGAATTTTCCATCCTTTGTCTCCACCCCCTAAGTGCTGATACTACAATGATGCAGGCTTGCATGGCTACCGTAATTTTTATTTAACAGTTCCACCTATAGATCAGGATCTCAGCTCCCTTACAGAAGTCACAGGAATCAATATACAGTGCCCACACAGATCTGACTAGTGGTAGAGTCTCTAAGCCTGGCAAAATTGTTCCTCAGTGCCAAACATATAAACTGCCATTACTACGTGTTGATTGGCAATTAAAAGACTTTGGGCTACAGAATTTGATGTAGCCAGATTACAGAAAGCATGCTTTCTGCAAACAGGTGAGGTAGTTTTGTTATAACATCTGCTGGTATGGAGCCCAGTCCATATGTTCAGTAGAGTTGTTGTTACCCTCCTTCCCCACAGTTAACCAAAAGCTCCAAAAGTTGGAAACATCTGTTCCTGAGGAGTTTCCTGTGTTCATCTTTCAAAAGTGAATTTCTCCTGCAGGAAAATAGCAAATACTGAGTTTTGAACTTAGGATAAAAATTTGTAAACCTGTGCAAACCTTGTAGTAGTTCAAAGGCCTGATACTTAGGGAGCACATTGTATCCTTGACTTTTATCTTTTTATTTCTACTGTTAAAAATACATTTATTGTCGAGCGTGGTAACTCACGCCTTTAATCCCAGCACTTTGGAGGCAGAGGCAGGCGGATCTCTGAGTTCAAGGCCAGCCTGGTCTACATAGTGAGTTCCAGAACAGGTAGGGCTACAGAAAGATCCTGCCTCAAAAAAAAAAAAAAAAAAACTGACCTGGAGAGATGGTTCAATGGTTAAGAGCACTGGCTGGTCTTGCAGAGGACCCAGGTTCAATTCCCAGCACTCATGTGGTGTTAACTCCCAGTTCCAGGGGATCTGACGACCTCTTCTGAACTCCTTGGGCATTGCACAATACAGGTGCACTTATATACATGTCAACAATACACTCATACACATAAAATAAAAATAAAATATTTTTTAAATACATTTATTTTAAAATATATATGAGAGGAGATGCACCATATACAGTTGGGAGTTCGCTGGCCTACAAAATCCCACTCATTTCACCAGAACTCCCTTTCTTTGATGCTAATAGGCTAGACTTTGTGGCCACCATCAGTTATGGAGCCATATCTGAGTAGAAGGAGAGTAGAGTTGCCCTATGCACACACATGGTCTTGGATTGGACAGCGGAAGCATCTGGGATGGCTAAGATTTGTTTATACAGGAATGTCTTCCTACATTCCTGTTGGCCAACTCATCTTCTAGGACACCAGTTAGTGTATGCTTGATTTTTGTGTTTTTTTGTGTTTTTTTTTCCCTATAGCCCCAGCTGGCCTGGAGCTCACTATGTAGACCAGGCTGGCCTTGAACTCACAGAGATCTGCCTGCCTCTGCCTCCCAAGTGCTGGGACTACAGGTGTGTGCCACCATGCCCAGCTTGATTGATTTTTGTCTTTTAAAGAATGTTCTTCACAGCACTAACCTTTTGGGTGGAGGTGTGTACCTGATTATTGAGCTTGTGGTCTGAGCTTGTGGCTTTCCTAAGTCCTTTTTGTCTTTTCAAAATGAAAAGTACAGTTACAGTGCCCACAAGGTGATATCTTTCACTGTTAAATATCATCTTGTTAGTCTTATTGTGCAGATACATAGAGGCTAAGATAGCAGGAAACTCCAGGTTACAAGTGACATTACCTGGTCTCTTTTCTTTAGAGGAACACCTACAAGGATTTTCTCCCACCACTCCATATCAGAGTCCGTGAACTACGATGTGAGAATGTTTGGAACATCTCTCCCTGTTAAGATCATGGAAGCCCTGACACTGGCGGAGGGTAGGTCTCATCTTTCAGTTTGCCCTTCTTAGCAGTTCTGACCCAAACCTGGGTCTCATACACAGTGACATTTCAACTTTGCCTGGTAGAAATCTGGTATGCCACCTGCTGATTGTTCGCCATTACAATATCTAAGTTCAAGAAGCTGAATGAATTATTCTAGCATAATCTCATAAAGTCTTATAAGTACTGTTTATCTAAAATTTAGTTCCATTTCAAAAGTTGATCAGGTATATGAAGTTTAGCTATAAAAACAAAACCCCAAACGCAATCAGTGCCCTGCATTTTGGGGTTAAATAATGTAATAAAGTCAAGTTATGCCTCCAGTTCTGAATCCTGTGTGGTATCCCAAAAGTCATATGACAAGATAGAGTTACCGTTGTGGTTTCTTTAGAAGGCCTTGCTGGCAGAGTTGGTGCAGTGGTTTGGAAGGGGCCATTGAGACAAGCCTTAGAAAGGCAGTGGTGTAAAAGAAAAGAGGGCACCAGGGAAGTGCAAAGTGAGAGCCCTTTACATTTGCCCAAGTTGCTTTACTGACACTTCAGTTCTGAACCTTTGTGCTTTTCTAGGATAGTGTTTTTTAAACTGCAGGTTGTGACTGAAATCAGTTCAGTGTTTCATGACCAGCATTTAAGGGAGGGAGGCAGACTGGCAAAATGTTGGCGTATATCTTGCTGTGAGGTGCTTCACCAGAGAAGACCACTCAGACAAACTTTTGTCGAATGAAAGTCTTGCTGGCCAGTGGCTACTACACAAGGGTGTTGGAATCCAAGTGTGTAGCCCCGAACCATCTCTAGGGTAAGCTTTTATACAGAGAAACCATAATCAAGGGTGAAAAGTTTAAGTTCCCAAGCTTACAGGTGCAAAGCCTCCTTAATAATTTCTATTCTATTAAGCAACAATTACTATTTTGTAGAAGCAAGTCAAGCATAACCTACAGAAGCCATAAATCTGCAGTTAGCAGGTGCACTCTGGAACACACTGACCTGTTCCTGAGACAACTGGGTCCAGCTGACGTGTGTTCCCATACCCTGGGCCAGCTGCCTGATAATTTCAGAGATGAGATAATTTCACTTTGACATGGCATAGCTGTGGTCAAGAGGGTGCCATATCACAATCTTATCATTAACTTTTTCTTTTTTCTTTTTTTTTTTTTTTTTTTTGTCCTTTTGAGACAGGGTCTCCCTGTAGCCCTGGAACTCACTATGTTGACCAGGTCAGCCTTGAACTCACAGAGATCTACCTGTCTCTGCCTCCTGAGTGCTGGGATTAAAGGTGTGTGCCACCATGCCTGGCTAACTTTTCATTTTATAAAAACTTTTTAATTTGGATGCACATGTGCAGTCATGGGTGTTGCTACAGCTCATTGTAAAAGGAATGCTCCTGTCCCCGTCAAATTTTGGCGTCCTGGCTGCCAGTTCCTAAAGCTTTTGGGATGCTTATTTTCAGGCTGCCATGCATAGTTTTCCCTGCTTCCATTCCTTCCTCTTTCTTCTTCTTTCTTTTTCTCACCCTGAAATTTCCTTTTTCTTTACTTTTTTATTTTTGGTCTTTTTGAGACAGGGTCTCCCTGTAGACCAGGCTAGCCTTGAACTCACAGAGATCCACCTGCCTCTGCCTCCCTAATGTAGTGAGGGGACTAAAGGCATGCACTACCACGCCTGGCTGAAATTTTCAATTTATATTGTGTTTAAACTTCTGGGTCATGCCTTGAGACTATGTTAATAACAAGCTATGCATGGTGATACAGGCCGATCTCTGTGAGGCTGGAAAGATGGCTCCATGATTAAGAGCACTGCCTGTTCTTGACTGACTACAGGCATGTGCCACCACACCCAGCTTATTTATTTATTTATTTATTTATTTATTTATTTATTTATTTTGAATTAGGGTCTCCCTGCAGCCCAAGCTGGCCTGGAACTCACTATGTAGACCAGGCTGGCCTGGATCTCACAGAGATCCACCTATATCTGTCTTCTGCGTGCTGGGATTAAAGGCATGTGACACCATGCCCAGCGAATGTTGATTATTCTTAAATATCTGGAAGTTATGTGAATTACTCTTTTGTTTATGTTTCTGTTACCTGCTTTAATGAAGCTTGTGATAAAGGAGATGTTGGCATAAAGAGGCTGAATGGCTTTTCATAGTTGCAGTGTGATTAAGTGCGTGTCTCATTTTCCCCTCAGTTGATGAACAGCTGTCTGTCCACATAGATGAAGGTGGGTGGGCTTGCCTGGTCTGCAAAGAAAAGCTCCTCATTTGGAAGATTACAGTGTCACCTGTCACTAAGGTAATGGCTCTTTAGACAGCTTCCTAGGAGGTGGGGAAGAGGAGTCCCAACTAGTTCTTGTCTGTAAGCCTAAAGCCTTGTTCTTTAGAGTTGATGGAGGATGCTAGTCTAAATCTGGAAGAGCATTAGGAACTTAGGATATGAAATACAGATCGCATGTACATATATGTTGTTGAAAAAAATTCCTCTTTTAATAATTTTTTTTTGCTGATGTCAGTAGTTTCTTCCTTCTCAAAAGACCTATTGCAGCCAAGTTAAGTGAAGGTCAGTTCAGGGTTTTACTGTCTTCACAGGTTCCAGGTCATGGGCTCTTTCTCCTTCCAGCTCACAGTGCTCAGTTTCTCAGGCTGTGTTCTCTTGGATCTACAACTGTCTTAATGTGGTCAAGGGCTTAGCACCAGTCTTCCTTGTAGTGAGTTTTTTTCTGGAGGAGTAGCCTAGTCAGCCCATCACACTGCCCCATACCTCATATGCCACTGGACTGGGCGCTTTCCACACTTTTTACGAAAGTCGAAGCCGAGCCTGGTGGCGCACACCTTTAGTTCCAGCACTGGGAGGCAGAAGCAGGCAGATCTCTTGAGTTTGAGGCCAGCCTGGTCTGCATACTGAGTTCCAGCTGGGACTACAGGGAGACCCTGTCTTAAAAAGACCAAAAGGAGAAAGTCCAGCATGATTTGGGAGCCTTCACCGTGTTTGTGGGAAGGCTTTCAGCACTGATGGCCGTTTTAGTATTATTTTTTGTTTGTACCATCCCACAAATGCAGAATGTGGGCTCCTGTCCTGTAGTCATCTGGCCATCTGTCCCAATCCTGGGTAACCAACCTCTTTTCCCCTAAAGACTGAAAAATCAGCACAGTAAAGCTGTGCTCCCTCTAAGCCCCTTCGTACTTCAAAATGACCAGCAGTTGAGGAATTTAAGGTACAAAGGGAAGAATTCCAGTGTTGGCTTTCCATGTAGAAGAAATAAAGACCCTGCAGCCAGCATTGTCTCTTTCCTCAACTAGGGGACTAAACCCGAACCATCAGCTTCCTCCCCTGCACAGAGAGCCCATCCATCCTCCTTATCCTTTTTTAATCATTTTTATACAAGACCCATATAATTTGCACTTAATAAAATTAGAGGCTTTGAATTTTTCAGGGACCAGCAGGCCAAGTAGCCTGCCTAAGAAGTCCAGTGTGCGTTGGTGCTGCCCACATAGCTAAGAACTGAGTGTGCCTGTTTCTAATCTGGGATGGGGTCGTGATCCTTAGTACAGTAGAAACAATGACACCAGTTGCTCGGTGAGCTTTGACTCTTGACTCCAAATAGCAGAGCCATCATTGAGGTCAGTAATGCCCCTTCAGCTGACTCTTCAGGCACGGCCTCCCTAATTCTTGGTGTCCACTAACCTTCTTGGTGCTCCCACACTGTCTAGAAAAGATGATCTAGTTAGAAAGTAGCAGTGAGGAGGGGTGGGGGTGGGGTTCTACTAAATTTGCAAAGGGTTCTAGATGTCTGTCTGCAAGCCTAAGAAATAGTTTCAAGGCAACATGTGTAATTTCTCCTTGGCTGTGGAATTTCACTTGTCACATATACTATAGCCAGCCTTGGAAAGTTATGTAGGTATCCCCTAACCAGTGGAGTCCTTGGCCTGGGAAGAACACACAGATCACTTTACGTTTTCCTGACTTTATATCTCTTAAGATACTTTGCTGAAAAGTTCCTGAAAGCCTGATCAAAAAGAGCTGTGAAAAGAAACGATATTACAAAATAGTATTCCCAGCATATAAAATATGCAAAGGAAATAAGAGATGTCAGAATGAACAAATTGCATTGAATGTGAAAGCTTCTCTTTGGGGTTTGTCCTACAGCTGTCTGTCTGCAAAGAGCTCCAGCTGCCACCTAGTGATTTCCATTGGAGTGCTGACCTGGTGGCACTCTCTTACACCACAACTTCAGGTGAAGCACATTCTGTTCAGGTAGGTGACTTAAAAGCTGATGAGGGGGCTGGAGAGTGACTCAGTGGTTAAGAGCACTGACTGCTCTTGCAGAGGATCAGGGTTTGGTTCCCAGCACCCACATGGCAGCTAACAACTGTCAACAACTCCAGTTCTAGGGGATTCAATGCACTTTTCTGGCCTCTACATACATTGCATGCATGCAGTGTACTTACATACATGCAGACAAACACTCATGCACATAAAAATAAGCCAGGAGTGGTGGCACACGCCTTTAATCCCAGCACTCAGGAGGCATAGGCAGGTGTATCTCTGTGAGTTCAAGGGAAGCCTGCTCTACATAGTGAGTTCCAGGCCAGCTGGGGCTACTGAGAGACCCTATCTCAAAAGAAGACCAAAAATAATATAATAATAATAATAATAATAATAATAAATAAAAGATATTTAAAGAATCTATTTTTAGCCGGGCGTGGTGGTACACGCTTTTAATCCCAGCACTTGGGAGGCAGAGGCAGGTGGATCTCTGTTAGTTCAAGGCCAGCCTGGTCTACATAGTTCCAGGACAGCTGGGGCTACAGGAAGACCCTGTCTCAAAAAGACCAAAAAAAAAAAATGTATTTTCCCACATACCTATACAAAGATGGAACTCAAAATGGATTATAAATCAAAATAAAAAACATAAAACTGCAAAATTTTTAGGGAAAATAGAAAAAAAATCATCATGGGCTGAGGTTGATAGAGTTTTTGGAAATCACCAAATTATGCTCCCTAAGGAAAAGTAAATGAAATTAACATTAAAATAAGATTAAAATTAAAAACCTTGTCTAAGACAGGAAAATAAAGTGACATGATACTAACTGAGGAAATACTTATAGATCCATATTCAGCCAAGGATTTATACCCAGAATATAAAAAGCTGGCAAAGTTTGGTGAGGAAGCAGACAATCCAGTTTGAAAACAAGGCTAGGTCTTAAATAGTTCACCAAAGAGGGTGAACGTGGCAGATGAGCATGAGACGGTCAATGTCATCAGTTGTTAGAAAGTGCAAACAAAGGGCTGGACAGATGGCTCAGTTGTTAGGAGCACTGACGGCTCTTTCAGAGGATGTGGGTTCAGTTCCTAGCACCCATGTGGCTGCTAACAACCATCTGTAACTCTTGTTCCAGGAATCTGACACCCTCTTGTAGTCTGCACAGGCATTGCATGACACAGGTGCACTTATATACATGCAGGCAAAACACTCATACATAAAAATTAAAAGAAAGTGCAGACAAAATACCTGAAAAGTACCACTGCATAGAGTGTCATCAGGGTATGGAGTGACTGGAACTCATACTGTCGTTGGGATGAAGAGCAATGCACATACTTGTTCCTACACACTTGTTATAAAGTGAGGATACATGTGCCCTGCGACTCAACAGTTCAATCCTGGCCATTTGTCTGAGACAATTGAGGATTTTCTATTTTATTCTATTTTATTTTAAATTTGTTTATAAAGCAGCAGGTTTCCTTATGGCATCTTCATACCTATTTAGTTTTGGTTCACTATACCCCATCCCCACTTGAACCCTTCCACCCTCAGCATTCAGATCACATGTAGTATATTTCTCCATTCCTCTCCTTTAAGAGCTTTTTTCTCTTATGGATCCCTGACCTCTGTAACACAATATAATCACCTGTGTTCTAGCAGATTTCTTTGTGGTGCCAGTGCTGAGAACATTGCAGCAAACAACACCCATCACAGGTGCATGCAGTGACCTCAGTGAATTGAGGGCAAGCTGAAGGAGGGGTAAAGGTGGGACTGTAGTCTGTGCTGTCTGACATTCTCAAAGAGCCATAGCTACAGTGGTCTAGACTAGTTGACAGGGTAAGACAGGGAAGGCATGATTATCAAGGGACAGCACTAGGAGGTTTGGGGTGTCAGAACTGTTCTGTATCTTTACTATGGGTGGTTGTACCAGTCTGCACATGTTAAAATTCACAGACCTGAACAGAAAGCAGAGGCAGTTTTACTGTTGAGTAATCTTAAAAGCAAAGAATTCTTAATTGACTTCATCAGTGTCATAGGCATTCAGTTTTGAGGCCTTCTTTTGTTGTTAATGATTGTGGTTTTGCTTCAAGGCTGTTGCTGTCATGGTTGCCACCAAAGAGGGGTCCATCCGCTATTGGCCCAGCCTTGCCAGGGAGGACATCTACTTGGAGACAAGAGTGGATTTGGGAGGTGAGAAGATGTGCAGTTTCCTGGTAGCGGTGCAGGTATGTGTGGGAAGAGCTGTGGCATGAACTGACAAGAAGTTTTAAGCTGGGTTCTAAACAGCTATGGGGGCCTGAGAGGCATGAAAAAGAGACAAGGAAGTGAAGAAGGTAAGGGTTATTGTGGTAATGGCTGCACCATAGGAAGTCCTTCATGAGGACAGTGGGATGCTGGCTCATTACCCTTAAGCACACCTCTCTTTGTAAGAGTGGCTATTAAAAACTCTTAGACACTGGTACAGTGCTGGCTGGCATCTCCTTTGCAGAGTTATCAAAGAAATCTGGGACTGGGGATGTAGCCCAATGGGTCGAGTGATTGCTGGCATCTCTGCAGTTATCAAAGAAATCTGGAGCTAGAATGTAACTCAGTGGGTAGAGTGCTTGCTGGTGACTCTTCTGCAGGGGTATCAAGAAATCTGGGGCAGCTCAGTTGGTAGAGTACTTACCTTGCATGTACATGGCCTGGGTTCTGTCCCCAGCACTGCATAAATTTAGCATGGTAGCACTTACCTGTGATCCCAGCACTCAGGAGATAGAGATCAGAAGTTCTATGTCATCTTTTGCTACATAGTGAGTTCAAGCCAGCCTGGGATGCATGAGACTGTCTTAAAGAAAAAGAAATCTGAGAACGTGATTCGTTGAACCTATACATGGTAAACCCATAATTTAGATGTCAGATTTTTTTTTTTCTGTCTTTTTGAGGCAGGGTCTCCCTGTAGCCCCAGCTGGCCTGGAACTCACTATGTAGACCAGAGTGGTCTTAAACTCACAGAGATCCACCTGCCTCTGCCTCCTGAGTGCTGTGATTAAAGGTGTGTGCTGCCACCCCTGGCAGAAGTCAGATTTTTTTAATGAACTTGCTATAAGAGTGTTCCTTCGACTGGGCAAGGTGGCATACACCTTTAATCCCAGCACTGGGAGACAGGCAGGTGGATCTCAGTGAGATTGAGGCCAGCTGAGGTTATAGGGAGACCCTGTCTCAAAACACCAAAGAGAGTAAAAAGTTTTTCATTGTATTATAGAATGAATAGATTTCAGGTAAACTATTTTAATAAACTATGCGCCTTTTTCAGGTGTGTTTAAGGTAGGGATGTTTCTTGTCAATTTTTTTTTTTTTTTTAATTGAGACAGCTTCACTCTGTAGCCCAGGCTGGCCTCAGGATTGTGATCTGTCTGCCTCAGCCTCCTGAGTTCTGGGCTCTCAGGCATGTATCACCACACCAGGCTTTGTATCAAACATTTTAAAAAACTTTTACTATTTTATTTATTTTTATTTTATGTGTATTGTTTTGCCTGCATATATATATATAAGTGCAATGCCCAAGGATGTCAGAAGAGGGCATCGGATCCCCTGGAACTGGAGTTATGGACAGGTGTTTGCTGTCATGTGGGTGCCGGGAACCAAACCCAGATCCTCTGCAAGAACACCCATTGCTCTTAATGGCTGAGCTTTCTTTTCAGCCCCTATAACAAACGTTTTTGCTAGCTCTTTGTCCTGGGGTTAGATGCATTCTTTGCTAATCTCATGGTATTTATTCATAGGGAGGAAGTTTCATCTTGTCCTCCATGGGAAGCCAGCTGATTCGATTGATTCCTGAAAGCTCAGGGAAGATTCACCAACATGTCCTACCTCAAGGGCAAGGCATGCTCTCAGGGATTGGCCGGAAAGTTTCTTCCCTTTTTGGCATTTTGTCTCCTACTAGTGACCTCATGGTAAGTTTATGTTTACAGTAAGTTGAAAGTTTCCAATGAAGGTGGTATTGCTTTCATACGAATTAAAAGTATTGTAAAAATTTTTGAGTATGTTTTTTAATACTGAATTTGGCTTTTTAGATTTGACCTGAAGTGTTTCTTTTCCCACATCTTCAGTTCTGTGTGGATACTCACACCTAGCCCTGCTGGTTGGCTTGTGAGAAAGGAAGACTGTGGACTGAGGTCTGCCAGCTTCTCTGGATTGTTCTCTTTAAAGCAGAGCCTTTTCTTGTGTTGTGCTGCTGAGGAGAGGTCTTTGGAGAGTGGGTGATAAGCTACTGAGCTGTCACCTGTTATACCCAGGCTTGAGTCTGAAGCTCAGCTTCTCACTACACTGCTTGTGTGTCACCTCAGGTGGCTGTTGTAACCTGTTCCCTTGAATGTTCTTTGAACCTAAAACTTTTTTTTTTTTTTTTCAGAGCTGATGACTGAACCCAGGGCCTTGCGCTTGTTAGGCAAGCGCTCTACCACTGAGCTAAATCCCCAACCCCTTGAACCTAAAACTTAACATGCTTAGAAACAGATTTATCATATTCCTTCTCCCCTTCCTTTTGACCACATTTGACCTACAAACGCTGTCTTTTTTTTGATGTGTCTGTTTCTGTTCGTGGCACTGTCCTTTTTCTTAGTGATCCAGATTTCAAACCATGGTGATACCCCCCAAACCTACTTTCTCCTTTGTCCTGTCAGTGGCTCCCTAACTGCTTCTGGTTGTATTCCCATCCTCCTTTCTCTCATCAGATCCTGGTTTGCATTCTGGTTCACAGGCCAGGACCTACTCTTATCACCAGAGAAATGGAGACAGACAGGGTTTAACTAAAAAACACATACTCAGCTTGAAAATGCCTGCTTCATACAGAAGGGTTCACTGAGACAAATAATCCCAGGTGTGGTGTAAAGTGTCATCCCCAGCCAGGCTCCCTTCATCACAGCTCTGGACTCAGAGCATGGGCAGTATCTCACTGGCTCATACGTTTACAGACTCAGGCTCAAGAGTCTACTGGGGTTTCTTTTAGAAAGTTTTAAATTTTTTCCCAGTTTAACAAAACACTGGTTATCTGAGGACCCTGTAATGTTCTCATCTTCCTGCTCTGCTCTTCCTGTGGAGATTCAGCCTGATTTCAAGGTCCTTTTCAGTTACTCTTTCCAGTGGAGCCTGTGGAGGAATTATAGAGAACCTTAGAGCATGTAAAGTTGAATTCAGTCTTACCATGACCCCTTCTCTCTGCACAGCTGACCAGTGTTCTCTGGGACAGAGGAAGGTCGAGCTTCTACACCCTGACAAGTTCAAACATCAGTAAATGGGAACTGGATGATTCTTCAGAAAAGCAAGCTTACAGTTGGGATATGCACAGAGCCTTGAAGGAGAGCATTTCTGATGCTATTTGGGTGAGGAAGAGTAACTGCCCTCTCTGGCTTGTGTTTATGGTGTGTGATGGATGGTGTTCATTTCTTCCTTGTTTTTTGTTTGCTTTGAGATAGAGCCTCACTCTGTACCCCAGGCTGGCCATGAACTGTTAAGTTCTTCTGTTTCAGCCTCCTGAATGCTGAGACTGCAGGCAAATATTACCATACCTTGCCCATCTGCCTTGATTATTTGAACACATTTCCATGTAAAAGCAATATAAGCATCAGATAAGCATAAATGGGGTATTCAATCCGTGCCACTACTGGAACTCACCAATTTACTTGCTAAATTGGAGTGACAGGGTTTAAGACAGAGTCTCATGTCAGCCCAGACCAGCCTCAAACTCACCATGTAGCAGAGGCTGACCTTGAACTCCTGATCCTCCACCACCCTTGTGCTAGGATTATAGTTATGTGCCATCATGCCCAACTTTTTTTTTTCGGTCTTTTTGAGACAGGGTCTTCTTGTAGTCCCATCTGTCTTGGAACTCACTATGTAGACCAGGCTGGCCTTGAACTCACAGAGATCTACCTGCCTCTGCCTACCCAGTGCTGGGATTAAAGGCCTGCACCACCATGCCCAGCACAACATGCTGACTTTTTTTTTTTTTTTTTTTTTTTTTTTTGGTAGGGTTG